CACACACACACACACACACACACACACACACACACATACACACACACACACACACACACATACACACACACACACACACACACATACACACACACACACACACACACATACACACACACACACACACACACATACACACACACACACACACACACATATATATAGTATGGGGGCTTTGATTGCTCGAGCCCCTGCCCTTTTTCAAAATTAATCAAAAAATGCATTTGAATTAGAATTAAAATGACAATGTGTACAAAACAGTAACGAATCGCTCAAAAGTTGGAAAATTCCTGTTTATTTTTACATATCTGTCAGTCTGAGGTGTTGCCATAACGCGTTGCCATGGGTTGCATGTGTTTTGCTTGACTGACTGATATTCCACAAATCTAGGCTCTCGAGCCATATTTGGTTCTTTCAGTGAGTGCCTATGGGTCGACACAAGGAAAAAATAAACCAAACAATTTTTTAAACTTTTTTTTCATCAATAATCAAAGCTAATGTGTCGATTTAATAAAAAATTCATATATTATACATTTTAGAATATTACATAAATCATCAATGCCTTTTTGCCATGTATAATACACCAACCAATCATGATCTGGCACAACATGTTCAAATTCCATTGAACAATGTGAAGTGGAGCAGTGATTTTCCGTTCTGGATGAAAATTACATGGACAGACGAACCTACATTTGTGGAGCAATCTGGATCTGCGGTTTGTCTCATTTTATAAATCAAATTGCATCGCTGAGAAAATGGATGCTAACTGACTACAAAGCACTGCACAAAACCATGCAGCACCAAAAGTCGCATTAATGGTAAGTAGTGTTCAATTCACTTGTATTTATGTATATTGATACACCTTTTACTATTTCATGAAACTATCATAATTAATGAAGCCCAAGTGTCACCTACAAGCCTATTGTGTGAAGTGTAGACTGGCGGAATTGTGACATGAAAGGACATTATTTTATTACCATTTTTGATAATTATGCAGCCTTATGAAAGTCTCTTATGCTCATCAAGCCTGCATTTATTTAATCAAAAATACAGAAAAAACTGTAATATTGTGAAATATTATTCAAATTTAAAATAATGTTTTTTTCTGTTTTAATGTACTTAAAATTATCATTTATTTCTGAGATGCAAAGCTGAATTTTCAGCATCATTACTCCAGTATTCAGTATCACATGATCCTTCACAAATCATTCTAATATGCTGATTTATTACAGTGTTGGAAACAGTAGTGCTGCTTATTTATTTATTTATTTTTTTTTTGAACCTATTATTAATAATAATTTAAATATTATTATTATTCTTAATAATAATAATAATAAATGTTTTTGAGCAGCAAATCAGAATATTAGAATGTTTTCTGAAAGATCGTGTGACACTGAAGACTGGAGTAATGATGCTAAAAATTCAGCTTTGAATGGCACGTCCCTTGGTAGACATGAACTCAATTATTTATACCTGGTTAACTCAACTAGTGCATTTGAAAATATGTAGTTATACTCATCCCTAATTATACATATTTTTATATTTTCCTCAATATACATTGCAGTGCGTGCATGCCACTCACGTGGTGAAGGCGGGGTTAACCTTTGCCCCCAGGTAGTAGGAGTAGAGGATGAACATGCCAATCATGAATGCGAGGAAGACCATGATGAAGAGGACCATGAACTTGAAGATGTCCTTCACTGTTCGTCCCAGTGAGATCTGCAGCGGCCCGAAGCTCTCGTTAGCCGGCAGGATGTAGGCGATGCGAGAGAAGCTCAGGACCACAGCGATGGCGTACAGACCCTCAGAGATCAGCTGAGGATCCGATGGAAGCCACTTGTCTCTCGCTGAAAGAACAGGAAATTGCACATGTAGAAAGGAAGTATTAGGTAGTTAGCTGCCTCTAAATGACTTAATATTAGCTAAACTAGTGTTTATCCACAGATGTCCAGTGTTATTTTAGTATCACTGATATACCATTATCATTTTTGTTAATATTTTGAATTAGATTTTATTTTTATAATTTCTGTTTTTACTGTAATTTTATTTACATTTTTAGTAATATTGTTGGGTTTTGTGTGTGTATGTGTTTTTAATTGTTTTAAAAAAAAAATATGTCTACATAGTTTTTTATAAATGTCTATTATGTCTATTTATTAGTTTCTATTTATTATGTCTATTTATTAGTTTTAGTTTATTTTGGTTTAGTTATTTTACTGCATCACATTGAACTAAATGAAACTGAAAATTTTACCTTGGCAACCTGATGAATTAAAAAAAAAAGTTAAATATTTATTTCAGTTACCATTCTCAAGTAACAAAAATGTTAAAAATGACTATGGTGTGCACACCAATCGCCAAATCCTTACATGTAATAAAAATCATTACATTTAACCATGTTTTAAATCATAATATCATAAAACTACCAAAATTCATGTATAATTTAAATGTATTCTATTTATCAATTTTTTAAAAGAAAAAGATTTTAAAAGCGTGTCCTCTCAGATTCTCTTTGAAACAGAGCAGTGCTCAGATTCTCTCTCACCGTATGTGAAATATTTGATGTCCGGCGGCAGCGTGACCATTGAGAGGTCTGGAGCGTGGATCTTCTCATCCACATACTTCTGGGCTTTCATGGCCTGCAGGAAGGCGAAAAAACGGGCAGTGAATGCCGCAATGAAGATGGAGAGCATGCCGAAATCCAGCACATTCCAGAGCTGCATGACATATTCCCTCGGACCCTCCGTCCAGAGCTCCTTACACTCCGACCACATCATTCCTGCAGAAAACAGAGGTGTTCTGATGGTCAACACAGCAGGAGCTCATATTGTATGTTGTGTGGTTGAAAATAGAAATAAGCTTATTTCTTACTTTTAATAATTCTACATTTGCATATTGATTAAACATAATCAGCATATTGATGAACTTTGCAATTTCACTATGTAAATTTATTTACTGAAAACCTATAAAATGTTACCTAAAAATTTTACAAATTCTATTCTATAGACAAAACAGCACAACTGATTGTGGAGTGAACTCATGTGTTTTCATATGAGATATCATATAAGGACAAAAGAGATGAGGAGAGAGAGAGAGAGAGAGAGAGAGAGAGAGAGAGAGAGAATTAATCAGACAAATCAAAGAGCCTGAGGAGAACACAGTCTGATAGGAAAATTATGATGGAGCCTCAGCGAATGCTGTTAAAATTATGAACTACATTTGAATTATATTTGTAATTTTAAGTTAGAAAGATACCAAAGGAAATCCAAGTAATGAAAATACTTCACTCAATTCACTCTCACACTGAAAGCATGCTGGGATGGAAAGGATCCATTTGGAAATCTCCAAAACTACCAAAAAAAGACTAAATGCTTTATTGCAGCAGAAGCAATACGAATCAGTGAGAACAGTGACAGAAGGTTGTGTTGAAGGGAGAAGGTCAGGGGTTCAGGTTCAGAAGAATCATGCTGAGCCCTCAACCATCACCACAATATACTGAACCTTCCCACACACAGTTCCCCAATGTTACACTTGTATAAGCACTATAATCACTTTCTGAACACACATTCTGAACGCACAGTTTGAATGAACTTTCTGAACACACTATATGAACAAACAATCTAAAAACACACTTTTAACAAACATTCTGAAAACACGGTCAATGAATGTTCTAAAAACACTCGATAAACCAATTTTCTGAACACATATTCTGATTGCACACTTGAAATGAACATTCCGAACACACTATGAATGAACATTTTGAATGCACTCTGAACAAACATTCTAAAAACACACTATGAATGAACATTCTGAAAACACAGTATGAGCAAACATTCGGAATGCACACGCCCTTTATTATGTTACACATCACCTCATCAGTTATAAACATTGTTTAAATGACTAGACTTGTAAAAAATATAAATAAATAAAGGTTTTAAAAAATGTGTACATTTAAAAATGTTTCTTAAAAATAAAAAGATGTAATTAACCATAAGCGGAAATCAAATGCGTAAAAAAAGTAATTATAAGCTTAGCGCCAGTGTTGGGGGTAACGCATTACAAGTAACGCGAGTTACGTAATCAGATTACTTTTTTCAAGTAACTAGTAAAGTAACGCATTACTTTTTAATTTACAAGTTACTTTTTCAAATAAGTAACGCAAGTTACTTTTTTTTTCAATTTATGAATTTCACTTTTGGTGTGAAAAGGCTTTTATATTTGCCAAAAACTTTTTTATTTTAAAAACAACCAAGCAAGCCCTGTCCAGATTTAAAAAGTAACGCAAAAGTAACGTAATGCATTACTTTCCATAAAAAGTAACTAAGTAACGTAATTAGTTACTTTTTTTATGGAGTAACGCAATATTGTAATGCATTACTTTTAAAAGTAACTTTCCCCAACACTGCTTAGCGCACACCACATGACTCAAGGCTTGTAGTGTGTACTTGTTTAAAAAAAAAGTCACACTACTAATGGACTAACTACTAATGGACACGCATGGTCACTTCCACAGTCAGAGCAGGTTTGATCGGTTAACACAAGCACAGTAAGGATGGCTTTTACACTATAATATTTCAAAGGTGTTGCCACTGACTGAAAACCCGTCAATCTGTCACTATCCAGGTGGAAGCCAAGCAACACTTTTGGCTTTTTGCACCTTGCAAGCAAACACTCAGGAAAAGTCACATGGTGTCATAAATTATTAAGAGACATTGCAGCAATAGCACATCATATTTGGTGACGCTGACTCAATGTTCAACTCAATTTCAAACCTAGAGGATGAAAAAAATAAAAATAAATAAATAACAAAAAAAATAAACTCTTAATCACCTCTTAAAATGAAAAATAACAGATGCAAACATCACATAGCATGCAACATGTATCAGTTTCCATCATCTAATGCATTACCCCAGCATCTTGTCCTGGCTGAAACAGCGAAACATTTTCTTACACCAAATGTAATGAGGTGAACTCAGCGTGGGTGAACTCTGAACCACAAACAAAATGGGAAAATGTTCTAAACCCAATCTAACCTGCGGTTCACCCTCTCAGTGATGCATTGCCTGCAAAAAGCCTTTCATTACTATAGCCTTTCTAAATGCGACAGAGATGAATGAACATGCCTCATTTTAAATGACTCAAGAATAATATGCTGAACAACAGTGTTTGTTTGCTTGCTTTGTGTTTTTTTCAAGTGAGTGCCTTGAAATGTCCTCAGAGATAAGCTACAAACTAGTTCAGGTATTACTGTTTCCAAAAACAACTAACTAACTAAATAAATAAAGCATCATCAGTGCTTTCAACATTGATAATAAGATAATTTCTTGAGCAGCAAATCAGCATATTAGAATGATTTCTGAAGGATCATGTGACACTGAAGACTGGAGTTACGTGAATTAAATGTGAAATTTGAAATAGAAAGACTGACATTTGTAAAACTCTAATAATCTTTGTTTTTTTATAATAATTTTTACAGAGAAGCTTTGCATGCATCTTAAACATGGCAGATACTGTAGATAGCAGTGTTATTTTATTATCAGAGATACTATTATAGTTTTTATAAATATTTTAAATCCGTTTTTATTTTTATATTTTCTGTTTTCATTTTAATTTGAAAGTTTCAGTAATTTTGTTGTGTTTTTTTTTTCCAATATACTGCATGTCTCTATAGTTTTTAATTCATTCTTATCTCAGTTTTATTTTTAGCTATTTTTGTACATCAAGTTAAACTAAATTAATATGAAAAATGTTGCCTTGGCAAATATAGCTGAATAAAAAGTTTTTTATATTTTATTTGATTTCAGTTAATGTTTATTTTATTTCAAGTAACAAAAACTGTTTTTTTTTAAATTAACTGGACAGGGAAATAAAGATTGTGATAGCAGCAATCCAAAAGTAGCTGTGTATTCCAACAAAATAAGACTTTTTGTAATTTATAAATTGCAAATGTGTCACCGTATTACCAGGGTTATTATAGCTAACTAAAACTAAAACCATTAAAAAAAAAAAAACTTTTGTCAAGGAAATAGTTCTCTTTTTCATTTAGTTTAAAGGGGTCATATGATGTTGCTAAAAATAACATTATTTTGTGTATTTGGTGTAATGAAATGTGTTTATGTGGTTTAAGGTTAAAAAAACACATTATTTTCCACATACTGTACATTATTGTTTCTCCTCTATGCCCCGCCTTTCTGAAACGTGTCGATTTTTACAAAGCTCATCGGTCAGAAAAAGCGAGGTGTGCTGTGATTGGCCAGCTATCCAGTGAGATTAAATTCTCATCGAATATCTATAGCAAATCTCTTTTGGTCTAAATGCTAGTTGTACAAAGAGATCATGCAGTACTGAGATCATATAAATTAAATAATACTGATTACAAATGTTGGTGCATTACCTGCTACCCAGATCATGATCAGTATTTCTGTCCAGGTGAATTGTGTGGTTTTGACTCTGAAGATCTGGAGCGGGTAGTCGGTGACGGTGACGTTGGGAAGGGTGGTGATGCCATCAAACCGATCGGACGCATTGAACACCAGCAGACACAGGAAGATGATAAAGGAGGCCGCATGAGCAACAAACTTCATAAAAGGACTGCGTAGTATTTTACCAAGCTGAAAAAAAAAACATGGAAAAGGTTAACAAATGTGTTGAATAACAAGCACAGACTCATTATACTGAAAAAAAAAAATGGTAAAATTTACTTTGAAACTATTTTCACTCAGCAATTGCTAGTAAATTTCACAAATAATTACAAGGAAATGGCAAGTACACTCTAAAAAATGCTGGGTTAAATATAACCCAGCGCTGGGTTAAAAAGGGACGAACCCAGCAGTTGGGTTGTTTTGAACCCAACCGCTGGGTCAAAGCAACCCAACCTCTGGGTCAAAACAACCCAACCGCTGGGTCAAAACAACCCAATAGCTGGGTTTGTCCCT